GTTATGAGGTTATACTCACGTAGGTATGAAACTGAGTGCATCTACCACTGACATTCACACTTTCTCTGGGTTGACCACTCTTAGGACCAGATTCTAGAATATCAGCTGCTCTTGTCATAATGTAACTCTGTTGAAACCCTTCTATGATCTCTCTTTTCAAAATGTACGGCATCCCTAGATTATTAAATGAAACAATAAGAACACTACAGTTTTCATTACTACCTTCCCATGAGAGCAGTCTTTGGATGCACAGTTTGTTTTTTTCTGCTGGAGAGTCAGCTAATTTTGCTTTCTTGAATCCACCCCTCATCTTTGGATGACTGTATTCATGTGACCACAGCTTAAGAGGATATATTAGTTGCTTTTGAATTGCTGAAATCAACATACCTGAGAATAACATAAGGGAAAGAGTTATTTACTTTTCATCTTGGTTTCAGCCTAGCATAGCAGGAAAGGCATGGCAGAACAGCTCTGTTCAGAGCAGTGGAAATGTACAACAGACACTGGTCACACTCCATTGAGCCAAGGTAGCAGAGGACAGGGAAAGGTAGGTTCTGTGCTGGCTTTATGCTTTTGCCACCTTTATCACTTCTGGGCTCCTAATGCATGGGATGGTGCCACCTATGTTCAGGGTTGGTCTCCTCGCTCAGCTATTCAGAAAGGGCCTTCCTACAGAGAAAAAGTACATCCTCTTAGACCCTCCATCTGAAACCTTCAATGAATCTAAATAACCTTGATGTGAAACTTTCTTTTTTCTTACCTTGGAGAAGTTATTCTCATTTTGAGTTTTGTCTTTCTTTGTTCTCAACCTTCCTAATACTGCAACCTGTTAATACAGTTCTTCATGTTGTGGTGATCTCTAACCATAAAATTATTTTCATTGCTGCTTTATAACTTCAGTTTTGCTACTGTTATGAAATGTAATTTAAACATCTGATAATCAGGATATCTGTTAAAGAATTATTAGACCACATGTTGATAGGTGATACGAAGTAGCACATGGCAATTCTACTTGAGAATTTTCATGGTCTTTTCAAGTTTATCTAAGTCTACAACAGTAATTGTCCATTATATGCCATTTCTCTTAAGTTGCACTTAAATTCCACCCCACACCATAAATTCTACCATCCAATTTATAGATGCATGTCCTCAGCATCCCTATAATAGACAAATTGCAAATTATTGAGTGCTCACAAATTGGGTACCATTGTGATTATCTGTATTAATTCTTCAATCTCTGCAACTCTGTAATTTAGATATTAGTTTTATTCTCATTTTATTGAAAAAGGATTTGAAGCTCAGAGCCATTAAGCATACTTCACAGCTACATAATGAAGACATCCAGGGAACACATTAAAAGCCATCTAGTTCTCAAACCATAAGGATATACTGATTCCTTACATATTTCCAAACAGACCCTTGAAAGCTAGAAACATAGTATTTTTCAGTCAAAAGAGCATATGTTGGGAAACATAATTTGAAGACTCAGACATTTAAGGTAAATAGCTGATCTTGTCCCAATTTTTAAAAACAATTTTTTATGCCTGTTTTCTTAGCTTGGACCTATTAATTTGTTATTCTTCCTTATTATAAGAAATGCTATTTCTGTTTAAGTGCTGCTAGATTTGGAAGTCATTCTTATGACTAAATATTTGTTTGCCTGTAAGAGCACAGGCTAGAGCTATGCTGCCAGTGGGTGCTCAATAAAGATTAATGGATGGCTGTGTACATCTGTGTGGGAGTTGCCCAGCTCCTCGAAAGCAGCACAAATGAGGCGGGAAGATGAAGACCACAGATTACCACCCCACCAAGATCGTAGGTTTCAGCTGAAGCATCCCAAGAGTTCAGACACAGTGGCTAGAATACTACTCGTGTTTCTCTCTGTGTGTCCAGAAACACTGTGAAAAGGAGACTCCATAGCCATTTCCAAGACTAATATCAAACACGAGAAAACTTGCTTTTATGATGAACACTACAGAAAACTAAATATTTTAATCGACGCATTTTCTATGGTTCCATTGTATATATAAAGAAGATGAGTAAGAAGCCACATCAGATGCTTTATTCAAACTGTCAGTACAAGAGACGAAGCATGAGTAACTCTCTAGAGAAGCTTCTGTGGACTGGAGCAGTACAAAATGACAGTTAAGCAGGCATACGTTCATTTACTACCAGTCATCCCTGAAAACTGCAGGGAAGCAGAAGCTGTTTTCTCCCAAAGTGCAGATGGGGGTATTTCTTGAAGAGAGGAAAGAGGGCAATAACTCACTTCTCAAAAAAGCCCAATGCTCATGTGTGCTCTCAGAAATGTGCCTGTGATTTGGGAGGGGGTGACTTCATTCTGAACAAGCAGCACTGGTCATCTTTGTTAACCTCAGCTGAGTTCTAGGGTGTCAGAACACTTGCCTGCAATATCAAACTTTGCATTGTCATAAAAAGAAGTGGGCGAAGAATGCCCCATGTTACCACCCTTCTCAGGCTGGGTTGGATGTATTAATAATTTGTAGAGATCATTCCAGTGAACTCATCCAATGGCCCCAACACTGCCCAGGTCTGGGTATTCCCATCTGCATGAGAAGATGAAGACTGATTTCTCAGGGATGATTTTGATTCTACCATGTCACGTTCTCAATGATAAATTCTCTCATGAAATGAGCATCTTTAACAGGAAAGCCTTTGTGTCCTGGACATTTGATGAGCATTTATTTATCACTGTTTTTTAAAAACTCCTTTTTATTTCAAACATCTCTTCCACCAAACTCTTCTTAGTAGTTCAGAAGGTTTTATGAATTGGGGCATTTTGAAACATGAAAGAAGTTTGTTTTATTAGTACAATTCCTTCCACTGTGGGCAAGCATCATAGTCAACCATTTTCTCACCTCAGAAAAAGATCCTTGGGAAACAAGAACAAGGTGTGTTAGGGAGGTAGATGTTGGTGGTATTATGGCCTGGAGTGATCAGCTTCTGTGTTTGTTACTTAAAAATACAGAAATTGGGTGGCTCACAAACAAAAATTTGCACTATATATATATGCCAAAGGTATTGATATATATATATATATATATATATATATATATATATATATATATGTTATCCTAAATGAATGTTAAGGTTTTGAGAGTTGGAAGTCCATTTCTCATTACCAGTAGCTAAAGGCACATCAGCTACATGGCTGATGGTGAGAGAACATGGGGGTAGCTGTACCATTGGAAAGTAAGCCCAGTTCTTCAGTGATGACTCTCCCAGAAAGCCCTCAAGGAGCTGCTGGCATTTCCTTCCAAGGAATCAATGAATCCATTTCTATCTGTCTGCTCACTTGACCTTACATAATTTTGGATCAGAGAAGAAGGAACTTAACTGTTGGGATAGGGAGAGTAAGGAGAGGCTGCAGAATCTTGAAGGAGATGGAATGCCTGGAGCCTACAGGCAAAACCACTGCTTGCTGGTAGTCACCTAGGATTTATTACTTGCTTGCTATATTATTATTTGTTCCTGAATCTCATTTCAGATTCTACCACTGTTGTAATAAGTAACTATCTTCCCAGCCATCATTGTGTATTGACAAGCAAATGTCACCAGTGTTTGATTGACATCTATTACTCCTGAATGCAGAAGTATGATTTAGGAATCAATTCTACTTATTTATTTAAAACCATTCCTATGTGTCAAATGTATTTGTTGGTGGAATAACCCTCCCAATACCCACTCTGGGGGCCATCTATTGATACTCTAAATTCAAGTGGTTTCTTCATTTAGCTCTTCCACTGTTAGGGGTGGCTTTTCTTTGTCATAATTTCCCTACTTCCCCTCACCCAATTTCCCACATCTGGAAAATCTGCTATGGCACCTATAGAACTCTCTCTGTGTCTTATGAACCTGACACTATGCAAATGCCACTTGCTTTGTTGTAAGACCTTTGGAGGCATACTGGCAAGTTATTGTTTCTCCTGCATGTTGCAACTTTAAGCAAATGCAACTTCAAGTGCAATGATGGTATCTTCTAAAGGGCAGCTGCAATTGGAAGCCCCTCAGTCAAATGCTCCTGTATGCACTCACCATTGTGTGGCACTTGTAAGAACCAGCCCTCCTCCTTTTGGACGCTGGACTAGTTCATTTAAATCAAGAAATGTCTCTTGGTTTTTAAATATACACTTTACTGTTCTTAGGGTAACATCTTATTTCATTTAGGAGGCTGTGGAGGCAAATGCTAAGGTTAAAAAACGCACATCTACTGTCTGGAAAATTGGAAAGGGCCCTCCTTATGTTAAAAATGGCATTTTGAAAAACACCTGAAGCACTAATTGTGGATGAGCCAGGAGAGAAATATTGTCACCAAAGCTCCCCCCTTTCAACCTTCACTTCAACCTCCAACAAGGGCTGCTGGCTCTGGGGACATAGATTTAGGTGTGACCCTTGAGTCCTGGAGCTGTTGCACAGCTGTGTCCCTCCCCTAGTATGTCCAGCTAGGGAGCTGCCATCGCCTGGGTTAGACAAGGGAGTATTCAGGATTTCATCGTTCATCCCTTGCAGAGAGGGAAAAAAAAGAGAGAGAGGCCGAAAAAAAAAAAAATCCCACATTGTCAGAGTAATGCCAAACTCTGTGTGAGTGGGATGAGCAGAGCAGATGCTGCAGAGAGATGCCAAAGCGGCTCCCCTTCCTCTGTGCCTTGGGTTCCTATAAATTGCTCCGGCGCGCGTTTGTCAGCCTCCTCTTCTCCTGGCAGGTGGTACCCAGGCAGAATTCTGCGTTCAGCCTCTCTAGCTCCGCTCGGCTCTCGCCGCTGCTGGCTAGCTCCAATCTCCAGCTCTGAGCCTTTCTGAGCCACTGATCCTGCGAACCACCGCCTTTCAGCGCATCTCGGGGGCACCCGACCAGAGCTCCCTTAGCCCACTAGGGGCTTTGGGGGTGCGCTTCTATTAGAGTTGTGGTGGTTGCAAAAGAGGAAGAAAAAAAGGAAGGAAGAAAAGGGGCAAGAGACGATCCCAGCCAGAGAAAGAAAAGAAGCAAGGCCCAGGGAAAAAAAGGCAACTTCAGACGGAAAGTTGGTGCGAACTGGCGCAGTCTGCAAAAAAGGAAAAGTCGATCGCCGGCAGCAGCGGCATAAAAGTGTGAGCTGCCCGAGGCGAGCGCAGGAGGCAGCGGCTGGCTCTGCCCTCCGGGTGGCCGCGCCGGCACCCGCTGCAGCCACAGGTGCGAAGGGGCTGGCTGGAGGCGAGAGGGCGCCCTGAGCACCCCTCCCCCAGCCCCCACCCCCCCAGTCGGGACTTCAGATCAAGTCACTTGGCGCCCTAGCTCCCTCCCCAGCCGCAGCCTCAGCGGGGGGAGCAGGAGCCAGAGAAGAACTACCGGCGCTCACCCGCCCAGGGGAGTTGGGGTTCGAAGGGGGATTGTTTTCGGCTCTGAGGAGGTCCCCGCCCAACCTTCAAAATTTTGTCCAAAAGCAGACAAGAGGATCGGCCCGCGCTGAGCCGGCTCGTGGGCAGCAGGAGGCGCCTAATCGCCGCCGGGGCGCTGGGGGTGGTGATGGTGCTTCTGCTGGTCATCCTCATCCCGGTGCTGGTGAGCTCGGCCGGCACGTCGGCGCACTACGAGATGCTGGGCACCTGCCGCATGGTCTGCGACCCCTACGGGGGCACCAAGGCACCTAGCACCGCCGCCACTCCGGACCGCGGCCTCATGCAGTCCCTCCCCACCTTCATCCAGGGTCCCAAAGGCGAGGCGGGAAGGCCGGGGAAGGCAGGCCCGCGTGGGCCCCCCGGAGAGCCCGGACCACCGGGCCCCGTGGGGCCCCCGGGCGAGAAGGGCGAACCTGGCCGCCAAGGCCTGCCAGGCCCACCTGGGGCGCCTGGCCTGAATGCGGCCGGGGCCATCAGTGCGGCCACCTACAGCACGGTGCCCAAGATCGCCTTCTACGCTGGCCTCAAACGGCAGCATGAAGGCTATGAGGTGCTCAAGTTCGACGACGTGGTCACCAACCTCGGAAACCACTATGATCCCACTACGGGCAAGTTCACCTGTTCCATCCCGGGTATCTACTTCTTCACCTACCACGTTCTGATGCGCGGAGGGGACGGCACCAGCATGTGGGCTGATCTCTGCAAAAACAACCAGGTGAGCGCAAGAAGGCAGTAGGGAGGGCGGGGAGCGAGTGCGGGAAGGTGCAAGCAAGAGGGAGGAGACCCCGGAAATGGGGGTGGGAGGCCGCGGAGGAAGGGCGCGGCAACCCGCTCCCGGGAGCGAGGGCGAGGGGGACTCTGTGACATGCTTGAGTGGTGGGGGTCGTACGCGTAGGAGCCCGGGAAGGGTGAGTCTAGGGTGTCAAATCTGAATTGTGAGCAAGACCCTCGAGGGGTGAGAAACTGGGAATCTGGCCCTGGGACGGCTCGTGTACTAGGGGATTCCTGGAGCAAAATCCTTGGCAGGTGAGATCCTGAGCAGATTAGGGTCCTGTACAGCTTTCCAGAGAGTGTAGAAGGCTTCCGGAGCCCAAAATGGGCGTGTCGGGGCTCCAGACTCCTTCAAGATAGACCAGGACCCTGGCGAGAAAGGAAGGGCCCCCAAGAGTGAGTCTCAGACAGGACCATCCCGGACTTAGACAACACTGCCTAGCGCGCAAAACCGCATAGTCCTCGAGAGGTCGTAGGCAGTGAAACTCCAGCTAGTTTCCAAAGGAGGGACTGCTGGGAAAAGGAAAAGTTGGGTTTAGGCTGTAGAAGTACAGCAGCCTACATCCAAACACCGGAACCCCCGACTTCGCTGTTTGGAGTAGGAAAATACACAAGGAGGTTGTTGGGAAGGTGATAGGTCAGAGTCACCACTCGGGAGCCCCTGGGGCCACACTTGTAGAGGTTTTCTAACCCTAGCCTTCTTGATCACAGATGCCCTGCCTTGGCTGTAAAATATCCTCAGGTGAGCTCCAAACCCGACCAGCTTTTCAGAGCTGGTGGGTGGTGCCACAGAGGTCACTGGTTTGCAGTATGGGCCAGGGATACTTTGCTAGAACCAAGGGCAAGTCAGTGAGAAACCAAAGCATTTTTCATCTTTTAGCCACAGAAGAAAAATACATTTCTACCTAAATATGTAATCGGACTTTGTGCACACTCTGAGTCCTTGGCACCAGGGTGAGGCCTTGATGCTTGTAGCCTGCTCTGCGAACTGAGTTCTGGAGTCCTGAACTTTACTCACTGACAGGAAGAAAGACCCAGCGACCCTGTCACTGCCCTCAAGATGCCTCATTCTGGGCGGTAATTTGGACTTAACAAGGGCTATTGTGCTGCAGGTCTTTGGTTCCCTGGAAATTCCGATTTTAGCTAAAGCCCAATTTTCAATTGAGCACCTTTAGGGCCGTTTTGTTTTTTTTGTTTACCTCAAGACCCAATTTAGTGTCAGAATTTTTTCAAAGGTAAAAGATGATTGTCCTAAATGTATGAGACACATTTTCAAAGTCCCTTGATTCCTCTTTTCTGCAAACCCCTTAAATAACGTTTAAGATACCAGGAACAACAAAAAAAGGAAACATGGCCACCAGGAGGCACTGACTGGGTTGTTCATTATAGTTAATATGTATGCAAATAACACTAAGATAAATAAAAAATGTTCCCTGAACAGCAGGCTAGGTAGTTGCAGGTATGTGGCTACAAAGGGTATGGCTCACTATACCAAAATAGAGGCATTGTGTCTAGCTGACCAAATGGTTTAGGAATGCCACCCCCAACCCTCCAGCTGGCAGCCATGGGATACCTTTTTATTTATACATTGACTCTGTCTGACTCAAAAGATGGATCTGTAAAACACTGGGGAGATATTTTTAGAGCCATCCGTTAAAATATACTAAAATTCCTGTTTTGTCAACAAATATAGAAATAGAAATTTTAAAAATATTTGAAGATCGCAAATGCAGGAAGCCTTAAGAAGCAGCACAATGGAGTTAGTTCAGACGCTGGTGGTTAGAGGCCAGAGCCTGGCATGTACCCTTGAGTTAAAAGAAACCATTCTGTATAGAAATTCTTGAGCATATAGATTCTATGGGGAGCAGGAAAGCAAGTGGGCAAAACACTGGCTGCTTATCCAGTTGCTGCTTCTTCAAAAAGTTGGTAACAGATAATTCAGAAAAATATACATCCTTCTGAGTTCATTGTGGACAGTCTTAGAAAAAGGTTGTTGCAATATTTTGGCTAAGGAATTTTGTCTTTAGAATAAAAGTTTCATAAAGTCTGGCCGCAGGCAGTGCCAAGTGGAAAATCCCCTAAAATCTCTTTTTTTATTATTTATTTTAAATAAATATTTTATCCTAGTTTTTCAATTATAGTCTGTAAGGTTGTTTCTTAGAATGACAGTTCCCTCTCTGAACTGACCTGATTTGTTTTTATAAAAACGGAAACTCAGAGAGCCATGTAAGATTGATATTCTATGGATTAAGTGGATTTTCAGAAGCACAGAGACGAAGCACCAAGGGAAGAATGCAGTCTTTCACTGTGGGAGGGGGCAGTGACTGGGTCATAACCATATGAGGGCCATCTTGTTTATGTTTTGTGTTGAATGTAGGGTCACAGATGGAAACATCTTAGGTCAATAAATTAACCTGATGTACCACTTAACCTTTTGTTTATGGTTCCAAAGGAGTACAATGAAAATGAAATTACCAAAACATCAGCAGCAATTAATTGAATTAGCAAATGTTACTGTAAATATTTTCTATAATGATAATCCCTCAATAATAAGACAATGCTAAAACTATACAGCCTATTATATTCTCAGAAACCTATCACGTCCTATAAAGGACCATGGTTTTCATATTCCCCATGAAACCATTAGCCTACACTTAATTGTATCTATTGTTGAGAGGCCATCACATTGCATATGAAAGGTAAAAAAATGGAGCTTAAATAGCTTTATATAGATACAGGAAGAATTCCTAATGCTTTTATACTTTTAGTTGGAAACCTGAAAACAATAGTTTCTGAGTATAGTTACTATAATGTCATTATCGTAAGCCACCATAATAAAAACTAAATTGCCAGATTAGTCATATAAAATGATTAGAGATAAGCCTTTCACTTACTAAAATTTATTAGTTATGGTAACAGTGGACGTGAACTATATCGGAAAGAGTGGTTTTATATTCATTTGTCAGAAAGAATAATGATGTGCCATGCCAAATTAGTTATCTCTTGAGAAGCAGAAATACATACTAAAGATAAAGCAGAGACCATACAGTTAGCATACTAAGAAAAAGATGTTAAAGAGAATTTAGGAAGAAATAGGTATATCAGGCTGAGAAAGGATGCATTATACTCCCTGACAAAATGCTGAAATAGGTGCACATTTAGGAATCTGAAAATAGCCTTCAGGGAGAACACATTACCTTCCTCAATAGTTTGATGGTTTCAAAGACGAATTGCTGAAGTCAGTGGGATACATATCAGAGCTTGAAATTCCAAGTCCCATTATACTCTTAGAGTGTGATGGGTGACAGGCATACTGACATCATGGACACTGGCAGGTGGTGGGTATTTAATTGAAAAAGTCCTTTAGTGCTGCATAGGTTAAAATATTAGGGAACTGCTTTTTTATTATAAAGTCACCACATTGGCTTTTTCCAACAAAGGAAATAAAACACGCTAAGGATAACCTTCTAGTGTGTGGATTCACACTAATGCATTAGCAGGCTTCTGTGGTAACATTTACTTTGTTTTGAGGCTGTATTCTATAGAATTAAACACCACTGCATATTTTTAAAGGATTACAGTCTCAAAGGATTACAGATCAAAGATTTCAATGGGTCCTGGCTCCTAAAGGTTTCATGTAGAAAACAATGATAATGGACAACATTCATAGAGCATATACTAAATATCCAAAATGTGAAATAAACTGATTCTCATTAGTAATAGCTGAGAAGTACATTACTTTGATGATTAGTAAACATATTGCTTATGTAGATATTTGCTGGTTTGTATTTTAATTTTTCACATCCATTAAAAGTCCATGTGTTCTAAAAGTCAAACTATAATGTTGCTATTCTCGTCGTGTAGTTTTTTTTTTTAATTGGGAATTAATAACTAGATTAAATAAATGAGCTAAAGCCTTTGGCTTCTACAAACTGAAGGTTAATTTCTAGGAAATATTATGAAGTGCAAATGCATTATTATGTAATGGTTAAAATGGATCACCTCACTATGGTGCACACATTTGAGTGTAGGCTTTTCAGTATAATCATGCAGCATATTGGTTTCATTATATTAATGCCAGCTAGCATAGTGATAAGTAATTCTAAAGCCTTTAAGCCCTTCTCTCCTTTTGCTATATGACACTCAGAAAGAAAAAAAATGTTAAAATACTACTCAAATTACTTTGCAAGTTCGGTGGTGTCCAAGTGCCTTCTCCTTTTATGGCATTTCAGCATTAATGTGAGAACATATCTTCCCATGAAAATTTAATTCGAAAGCCCATCAGTTAGATTTTGAAAGACATGCATGGAAATTCTTGACTTATGTCTCATTTCTCTCATTTTGCCAAGTGATAAAACCTAGCATATTATACCCCAAGTCATACATTATTACATAGTGCAGTTTTACAAAAACCACTAAATCACTTGCTATGTTATTCAGGGAAATATCATTATAGTGGAACAGAAACAAGCCACAGAGTAGAAGATGTGTTACTGAAATAAATCACACACAAGCCTGCCTTTTGAAAGATTTTTTTTCCCATGGCAGAATCAAAATATGTCTAAATGAAGCTGAAGGAGAGAGTGTGACAGAATGTCCATATGACACGATATGATAGGCAATTTGACTGTTTGCAAATGTTGATCAACTCTCTAATGAGACTAACGGCAGAACATAATCAGATTATAGTCAGCTCCCATCCTCAAAAACAGACACATTTACAATCACACAGATAGGAAAAGCTATGCAACAATACCTTGCAGACTCCTAGAGAACTGTAATGTCAGGTCACAAATTTAATTCCTTCTAAAACTTTTGGATCTGGTGAGATTAAATTATCTATTTAAAGGTGCATATAACTAAATGACAAAAAGGCACAAAAAATAAAAGGAAATTTGGAAATGTGGGAGATATAAACAAAGATGTTTAAATGAGTTAAGCTCTTCTGAAGAAGCCTGTTTAACAGGGACTTTGTTTGTATTAGGTTTCTAGACATCTAAACCAAAAAACCTTCCCCCTTACCTTCTACATAATAGCAGAGTGGTATTTCCCTGGGTCTTTTTGTCACTTGGGATACCAGTTTTCTAATAATTATGATGAGCCATTGAAGTACACAGTTGGTTGAGATGTTGCTATTTGGCTCAGATTAAAATGCAAAACAATACTGCCATTTCCATTTCAAAAAGTAACTGAAAGTGGAGACTCAAGGAATTAGAAAAAGCTGTAATCGAAGAGGAAATTGGATTGGTACGCTTTATTTGCAAGGAATAGAAAAGATTGCTGCAATGTCCCTTATGAAAGCAACATTTTCTCTTTTCTAGTAACATAGTTGAAGTTTTTACAACAATTCCTTTTAAAGCTATGGGACCAAAGACAACATCATTGTGCTACAGTCTATGCTATGGCTGCAAGTCTCCTATTATGCAAAAGGGGCAACTTGAGGATTCTCTTTTACACACTCTAATTCTTGTCTGTTTCACATAGGTTCGTGCTAGTGCAATTGCCCAAGATGCTGACCAGAATTACGACTATGCCAGTAACAGTGTGGTCCTTCACCTGGAACCAGGAGATGAAGTCTACATTAAATTAGATGGTGGGAAAGCCCATGGAGGAAACAACAACAAATACAGCACATTTTCTGGATTTATTATTTATGCTGATTGATAATGCAGAAACTGAGCTTGCTATTCTGAGTTTGAACGCTGAATTCATATGGCTAACGTCAGTGAATCAAGGATCCCGGGGGATGCCAATCGTAGGGCATCTCGGTTGTGTAATTGTGGGGAGATCAAATGCTACCTGACTCACATCTGTATCACTCAGACACATTATGTAAAAAAAAAAAAAAGTATTTAACGCAAGATAAGCAGATGTGTGATCCACTACCGCCAAAGCAAATACTCCTTATTGTTAGTGTCCATGTGAATGAAGTCCTATATAGACCACAAATTTTTATAGAAAAATCTAAGACAATGAATTATTTCTTCAATATCTATGATACTTTGGTGTACTGTGATCTTGCTGCTTTTATCCATGTGTCAGCTTTGGTTCTTGTGAGTTTCCCTGCTTATTAAGATACTCAGAGTCTATTTGTAGTGTGGGGAGGAGTCATTTTACCCTGCAGGAGAAGGTCTAATTGAAGTAATGCTGCTTGTCCCCAAAGATATTGTTTGCCTTGTATTCTTGTTAACTTTAGAGCTAGACCTGGGAATGATTCAACTTCAAGCCTTAACCTGGAATTTTCTGGATTTGTGGGAATTCCCAAGCCTGTGATCATTTTCACAATTTTTTTTCTTTTCATGTGAATTTTTTTTCTCTCTTTTCTGGTGATAGTCTTAAGAAACTAGAGATTGAAGCTGTATCATATAGGATAACCCTCTAAGTATGGAAAATATGTAATTATGTACGGTATTTATAAAAACCCTGTGTGTTCATTTTGTCAATAGAATACATTTAGAATCACTTGACCAGTCAGAAAAATTTATTCTTTGGTATGAAGTCAGATAGAGGCTTTACCTTCTTTGGAACAAAATGTTGTTCATAATTTAAGGCACGAAGGTTTAATCTGAGCTAATGCATGCATCATCAAGGGGACAGTAAGTAAGGCCTTCAAACAGTTACCACAGATCTGTGGCCTGAGGTTATTTCAAAATTAATCATTTCACATAGAACCAATATAACAACAAAGTGTATATATTTTATATAAATATCTGCCACACACTTATTTATATACATATGTGTTAGATGACATATTATATATACAAGGCTTCAGTCCACTAGGCATAGTGGCTGTATAGCTCAAAAAACTAATTTAAAAGTATATATGTATACACACAGAACCATGCACAAATTATTTGATTTATTTTAGATTGAAATATATTTTAGATGATACAAATATATAGAGTAGCAAAATATAAAAGTGACTTCTCTTTAAGAGTTATCCAGAAAATGAAACCTCAGCAGATTCAAATGCCCCACATCGTACATGTGTGTTAGTTGATCCATGGTCACTGTATTCCATTTGCAATCTATATTTTAATTGCATTCTCTGGCACACCATTAGTAAGGGACTTCAGGAAGCAAGCAGAGTCCTTGGTAATGTTTATGAAACATATACATTTGAGTAATCAATTTTTTCGTTTCTTTCTGGTGAATTGAAGTTGACAGTATAGTGCAAACCCATTCTCTCTAGTTAAAACACACTGCCAAGAGCTATCTCTTTAATCTAAGGGAAAGATCAAAATGCAAGAGAATACATCCTACTAGCACATAACCTCCCCTCTTACAATGGAAAATCTGTTCCCCTTTCAGTTGCCTTTAAACACTCCTTGACAAGTAGATTTCAAAACCAGAGATTTAAAAATCTGCTTGCTTTACTGGTGAAGGACATTTGCATTTTCCCCCTTAAAGGAACGGGCTGTTCCCCTGGCTCATTTCACTTTGGTATTTTTTGTTCTAATACACAGAGAGCTTGATCAGCTATGTTCAACTAAAATAGCTTTAGTTTAGCAAAACTTCAACTTTCCAAGAGTTATGCATGGTGTTCCCATCTAAAGGTGGTATGCACTGTGTTTAAATGCCTTGATCTGAGTAACTGTCATGATTTATATGATAAAAAACACTTAGACCATTCATCAAAAGTAGTGACTGATTCGATTTTGCCTTTCTGATATGTAAGGTAACTCATAAATGAATTGCCATAATTTTAATTTCTATTTCACAGCATATATTTTTCAAAGATGGATTGGTAGTGAGGATCAAGGGATTAGCTTATAAACAACAGTGTATGTCAATTAAACATCTTAACTAACATTTTTGAAAAGGCATTATTAGCAAAGAACTTCATGGCTGGATCTCTTCTAAAGAGTAACATTTACAAACAGACTGTCATTGCCAATAGATCTGACCTTTTCTTTAGATAAATAAGTATTATTTTCTCTGTTTAGGCCTGAGGAAAAAAGAAATAAAGGTAAATGAAATAAAGGGACTATATAAGGCAAGCATTTCTCTTTTTTTTTGCATTCTAACTTACGACTTAATTAAATTGTGGCCTTTGTTATTAAACTGTAATGATTCATTAAACTATATTATGTATTATATTTTTACTTTTATGATTTCATTTTTACAATTCACTATTGTTATATGTGCTTAGATAGGTTTTGTAAATGAAACACAACTAACAGCAAAAATGGTGACCAGAAAGCCACGGTGAAAATGATTTATTATAAGTTTAAATAGATAGGTGCAAAACACAGTTAACCTTCCAAAATATTTTTATTGTTATGAATTGGTAATTTTATTGCAGTCTTCGTTGGAGAAAAAAGTCTCAAAATTTAACTTCCCTTGTTGCAAAAGTGATTTTAAAATGCCATATTATTCATTAAGCATTAATTAAGGAACAGCAGGATAATTAGTAGGATCATCAATAGCACAAGAAACATTAGATTGCTCCAGAAGGGGGCAACTTAACTAGAAACACCATAATTTTTCTCAAGTAGTGTAGATGATAGAGTCACGGGAAAAAAAGATTCAAAATGACTCGGGAGATACATCTCTAAATTATTGTTTGGAAACACACTCTTTTGTATTTGTTTTATTAAGGTAAAACAATAGGACTCACTTAAGCCTAGCAGACCCCACCAGAGAGTTCCCTGTGACATTTATCGAATTCCTCACAGGAGGGAAGTGATCAGTCATTGGTTCTGTGTAGACTGGATTTATGTCTCAGAGTAGATTTGAAATTACCAAATATGCTCTGCAAATTTAATCTCTAGGTCTGTGTTCATAAACAGTCATCCTATTTAAAAGTTAGCCATTGCCTAGGGTTTTCTATGAGGATCTTATCAATTGCCCTCTCACTTATTCCTCTGAGGAGCATCTTAGGAACAATGTTGGTGAGAATATGTGAGTAGCCATGACCTCCATATTTCATGAGTCGGTGCTTCGTGTGTATGTCATGTGCCATGAGAATCCGATCTTCATAGCCCTCATCCACCAGGAAACGAACCCTACAAGAAAAACGTTAACTCATGACATGCCATCAGTCTCACATTTTAGATGTTACCTTTCACTCCTGTACGTAAAGATTCTGTCTTTAGCTGTGTGGCATATAAACCAGGACACTCTAAATGAATACTGTGTGGTGACGATTCAGGTGTTAACTTCACATCAAGATGAATGAGATCCTTATTCTGCACACATAGAAATTTCTCCCCAGTGATATTTTTGACAGTGTCTGGCAATGCTGCACTAGAGCTTACTGTGGTTAGGCCATTTGGATGAATGGCCAGAATAGCAGTTCACTGAACAATTTTATGTTCGGCTCTCTTCTTTAAAATGCTTGTCTTAGGCTCAATTTTGAAATACCATTCTCTCTCTCTTTTAAAATCAGTAGGTGTTTGCGATTACAATACAGAAACAAAAGGATTCTTCATATGAATAAAGTGCTTAGAGTAAAATCAGCTGATTTTCAAGTGCAAGGTCCATGCTATGTGGTTATACAGTTGATGAAGGTGGGTTGGCAAAGTTCTCTGGATTCAAGCCATCTGTTCCTCTGCAGTCTACAGGAATTCTGACTTAGTGGTGGTCTCTGAGCATTAGATGAAACTGACCAAAAGTTTTCAGTCTATATTCCTTGTCAACAAGGCTGCTAAAATAGCAAGCTGTTCCTTTAAATGACCATAGTCAGTTGACTAAAAGAAAGCTTCCTGGCTGTAAAAAAAAAAAAAAAAAGTAATCCTCTTTGCCTAGTTAAGAGCTATAATCTTCAGCATGAGTCACCTCCTGACAGCCACCATCTGTATGTGTCTGCACTCTGGGCAGTGTCTATCCCTGACCACCATGGCATTTGATGTCAGAGGTGCAACTTGCAAACAATGACTTTTTTTTTGGGATTCTTGTACAGTCTTTTGAGTATCAAGACTACCAAATGGACATAGGTGGGTGGATCATGCTCTTGCTCCGGGGGGGGGGGGGGGCTATTTGAAAAGTCTTGTTTTAATAGACAGACAGGAGCATTTCTTGCTATTCTCAGGCATAAGTTCTATTTAATAACTACTGTAGTACTCATGGAACACTACACACAAAAATGCAAGTTACAAAAGTCTGCTCTCTGAACACCTTTAAAATAAGTTACAATTGCACACTATACCTACCTGAAGGTCAAAGGAATGGAAGTGCCATGGAATGCAGCCAATCTGGGTGTTTGGTAAAGAAACCAGCATTCAGCAAGGGTACATGGATGCCATGTCTGTCTTACAGCGGCATGGCATCTGCAACCAGATTTATGCCTCTAAGGTTATTTGGCTTGTTAAAACTGGTCCTGAAGTCCTGATCTACAGTTACCTTTTGAAGAAACTATAGTTCAGTGGGACTAGCTAAGAAAGTCATATGATCATTTGCCATACAAAGGGAAAATGTGAGAGAACACATGTGCGGTGCTGGTCCCCGGGATGACTGTAGAATGGAAGGTCATCCATCAGAAGGGGAGCTTTTGGGGGCCACCTGATTGATTTTCCAGAGTAGTTCTCAAGATTTTACATATTTTCTTATTATCTGAGACTGTATCTCCTGCTGCAGTTATAGCTCTGAAAAACAGGTAGACCTTAGGCCTAGTGCATCATGGGCTCTGGACTCAATCTCTAGCACTGCCTAAAAAGGTATGGTGAGCCACACAGGTCTGTAATGTAATCGCATCCCTGAGGGTGAAGTTGGAAGAGCTGGAGCAGGACTTCAGGCTTACCCTTGGCTTCAGGACACCAAGCTCACCTACCTGGGCTATTTTTGAAATTTTATTTTTTCCAAAACAATAAAAGTTGGGCCATTCCTCTTCAAGCTGATGCTGTTGTGCAGTGGCAGAGTGGTTGCTTTTCTGAGAACTTCTATGTGCCATTACTACAATGACATTCACACAGAAAACTTTCTATAATATACCTTTATCCCACTTTGAAACACACAGTTCTTACATTGGGAAGTCACAGGACAGAAGATGATGGATTAAATGCTTGTAATTAAAAATGAGAACCCTGAAAATTGTAACACCCCTCCCCCCAAAAAATGAGAATAGAAACTTGGAGTCATTCTTATCTTATTTTGTCTAAACTCTGAATAAATTTATTTTTGGGGAGGGCAGGGAGAGGAAACTCTTAGAAATCACAATGAAGTCAAGGCTGAACAGCTGTGTTATCTCATGAACATGATAATGTTCTGGTTGCAGAAACATAATTATATGCTGGCCATGACTGGAAGATGCCTGGACATGTCTGCCCTGAGAGTTCATCTCTGATAGCATGGAACCTCACAGAAGAACAAGAGTTACAAAGACACTGCCAGAAGGGAAGAACCACTACAGATGAGAAGACAAAAAATCACAGTAATTATAGCAACACAAATGAGTTCATGTTTTGCAAACAAATATTAGAGAGAGACTACAAAGTGTGAAAAGGCAGAGATATAATAAGATTTGAGAAATGGAGCATAAGATTGAAAACAGGTGTTAGACACAGAATTTCTGGTTCTGAGAACCAGAGGTAGGCAGAAGCGCGGGTCTATATTCCTGCACTTGGGAACTGCAGATTCCCATGGCTGAGAAAAGACTACTGATGAATGATACAAAGCATGTGCTCAGTGCATGGGGTCATTCAGTTATGATCACTGGCTGGGAAGAGTGAACAAATGCATGGAATTGATTTAAGGGTAAATAAGCAGGAGATATACACACATACAGACAGCATATACAGATATTTTATATTCATACATATACACATTATCCAATGTTTGACACATAAAGAATGATTACATTGGCACAGTAAGAGATAAACAATTATTATTTTTTTGTTCTTGAATTAAAGCCAACAAACATTTACCCATTATCATATCCCCTCTTTACCAGCCCCCTTTCTTGTTGCAGGGGGTCTGGAGGTCTCACAGAAGGCACAGTGACACAAAGACACACACCACTGGCCAAAGATGGCTTTAGCACATCCAGAGTGGAGACCTCTCATTCCTAACTGAAGAGTGGAAAATTATCATTCCAACTGAATTTAAAATACATTGAAGGCATTTATCATGAAAGAGTTATTGAAGACCTATTTGAAAGAGAGAGAGAGAGACACACACTCTCTCTCTCTCTCTCTCTCTCTCTCTCTCTCTCTGTGTGTGTGTGTGTGTGTGTGTGTGTGTGTGTTTAGGCACAGCATGTGCATTCAGGTGCCTGTGGAGGCCAAAGGTGGGCATTAAATCCCATCAGATAGGTGGTTGTAAGTCCCTGAGATGGGTGCTGGGAACCAAGTTCCATTCTCACCAACAGAAGTGATGTTAACTGCTGAGTCATCTGTCTAGCCCCATGTTTTGGTTTGTCTTGTCTTGAAATAGTGAAAGATGATAACTTACTATAGGACATAATTTTAAAATCCAAGTCTATGGACAAAGAAGTTTTACTCCTGAGTATGGCATGAATTGGTAGAGTCTTACAGAAACATGTTTGTCCATACTAACAGTGTTCCTGACCAGGAAAATTAAAATCATGAAACAAAATAAGTGATAAGCAACAATAGAGACTGGGGAGATGTCTCAGCAGATAAAGCATTGCTCTGTAAGAGTGAAGATCAGATTTCAGATTTTCAACACCCACATAAAAAAGGTGGCTTACTTGTAATACCAGCCTTGGAAGGTGGTGGCAGGGGATCCCTGGAGCACACTGGCTAGCTAGACTAACTGAATCAGCATACTTTGTGATCTGCAAGAGACCTGTTTCAGTATATAAGGTGGAGAGCTATGAGGAAGACACTCATTAACTTCTGACCTCCACATGCTCATGCATACATGCTCATGCATACATTGCCTCAAAGATGCCTGCACACTACACAGACATACAAAAAGGAACAGAAAGAGGCAATGGATTGGTTTTCCAAAGAACTAGTTCAAATATCAAAAACAAAAATGACAGCTTCATTGGTCAGGTTGGAGAAAGTACTTTACTATGTGGAATAGTCTTCACTTTGCACAACTAATGCAAATATCGGCTAGTTCTCTCTACCTAATGACATTGAAGTGGAAGATTATTTTACTGTTACTGGGATCACTGTAGACAAATGTCAATATATAGTAGTCTAGGAAAGCACAGAGATATAAAGGTCACATTCCTGAGGGAGCAATCTTCAGCTTGGTTGAAATGAAAACAGGCTTGGGATGGCCCTCTGAGTCCCACTGTATGCATGTTCAACTATTGATACCTGTCTCAGTTTGTGGACAGTATTTCTCAGTTCTAGTTTTGCTCATTCCATCAGTTTTCTGCACAAAACCCTTGAGTTTGGGTCCTTGTTATTTCGGGACTGCTTTCTCTGAAATCTTAATCTTCAGTCTCCCATGCTCCTCATTCAACCTCTTGATACTCTTTTCACTCATCCTACTGTATATACTCACATATATCTTTAAAGTCTATAGGTTAACTTTCTGTTACATTATTTCTAAATATGTGCACATTTCTTCATATGTCTTACCCCCGGCTTATACTCCCTGTCCCTCATTTCATTCCTTCCTCTGATCCCCTAGCAATTGCATCTTTCAGATGAAAATCCCAATCCTAGATTTCTTTGTGTGTTCACATTTAGTTCTTTGACCCACAATGCTTCACTAACACTATTATCAATATTAAAAACATCCTTTGGGAAAACACTCAGAAAACCCTGTGCACTAGTGCCAACACAATCATGCAGCCATGATTTCCAGGCTTGGATGGATCTCAGAAGCACGTCTCCAACTCAGCAGCCATTCCTGTTCTTCCCTGTTCTCCACAAGACCATCATGTCTGCCTCACATGAAGACTGGAGGTCACAAAGGCACTTGGTCTCAGTTCTGGATCTTCTTGCTAAGACATTTATTTGCATCAACGTTACTGTTTGCTTCCTGCTTTCCCAATGCAAAGGAGAAATTCTCCCTCAAATAATGTGGTACCTACCTACTCCCCAAATTCTACCCCTTTGTCTCTTTAGGCACCTGGATCTATATTATCTTTCTATATATTTTTGTGTGAAAATTCATTAAATATTTCCATATTTAGAACAACACATTCATATAAAAACTCTGCAAACTGTTTTTAATATAAATTGTGTATTCATCTCTTAGGATTACCTTTCTTTTTTGGACCCATTCTCTTTGTGTCTATCCCTCTCTACTTCTAATCTTAGCTTCATAAACTGTTGAACTTTGGAAAAAGTTTCCCTGGAACACCTATTATCTTCTAGCCCCAGCCCTCCTCCCTGTTTCCCTGTACTACTATAGTTTTGCCAAGAGTAACTTTCATATTCTCTGGCCCCTTCCTTAGCTTCCATCCATTTCTCAAGCCTTCTACGGAGACCACACTTCCTGACTATGAGAGTCTCCTAATTTGCAACCCAGTTGTTATCTTTCAGCCTTGATGCTTCTTGATACGCTGTCTATTGTAGATGTTCAAGCCTTTGGCTTTAAGCCTCTCCTCTCACTGAGATATTACATTTCCCCTGATGGCATCAGGATGAAAACATCTCTATCTATCTCTTCCTAAGATTCTGTTATTGACTCCATCTATTCAATATCTGTGTCTCCAGGTGTCTGTCCTCTTTCTTTTCTCCATGATCTCGGGTATTCCCAAGATTTGAACAAGTTCATATAAACTGATTATGTCTACTTTTATGTCTCAGCTCAGATCCCTGCTCTGAGCTTCACACGCTGATGTTAGTTATTATTTTAGGGATAACAATACTTAGATGTTCCTAAGCTAAAGTCTTCTTTGTCAATCTCAGATGTATTTCTCCTCACTCATTCCCCATCTTGGTTCTGTTAGTCTTCAGTCTTCATGTCACCCTGTGACCAAGACCAATCAACATAGCCTTCTTCTACTCCATCAAAGAATAAATACTGTATTGATTTGCTTCTTCACACATTAGATAATGTTGGGAAGTTGTGATGTATGGTGTTTACATGTGGCATTTTATCATTTAATTTGTAATCACCACCTTAATGGTATCTAATAAAGCTTTTTAAATGATAATTTCAGAAGATCTTGGCTTTAGTGAGATAAACCTGAGGAAGGAAGTACTGATCCCACTATGGATAAAAGAGGGAAATGGCTTTCATTCTCTCCTTGTCATGGTAAAGGTATGGCATTATCTGTTTCTTGTCAGCTGTCCATCTGAACTGAACTTCTAAGGCTCTGATAGCTTTAGCCTACTTACTATGACTCATTTTCTTCTTGAAATAATTTATAGAGTTTTTCTCCCTGGAATAGCTCAGATGTATTTTCCTCTGCCAAGGCTGCTTCAGCCTACTTACTATTTTCCAAATCTTTGCTAATACTCACCCAGATATGACAAGCCAAAAGGGCTGGCAGAAGAGAATGTGATGAGAGACTCCAGTATATTTACCTTCTAATTCTTTTGTTATCATCAGGCATATCAATATCAGGGCTGAACTGGTAATTAAGGAGCTCTGTACCAAAGAGATCATATTCCAAGTAGCAGCCAAGTTGAGCAAACTCCAGCAATTCCTTCTTATTAAGTATAGACCTAGAGAAAATAAGGCAGACATATTGCTATTGCTATTATTAAAAACATATTCTCTCTTGTATCCTGTGGATACAAATATATATATATTTGAGGACCGGAGAGAAGATTCAGTGTGTATCATAAGTACCAGCTGCCAAGCTTGATTACCTGAGTTCAAATCCCTAGGATTCACATGGTGTAAGGAAAGAACTGGTTCCTACAGGGAACCTGTTGAATGGAACAACATGTCCACATACGCATGTAAAACAAATGTCTTAAAAAAACTATGACCTTCTTTATGTTCGCGTTCAATTAAACTAAGTTCAACTCATTACCAGAAATATGGAAATCTACCTAAAAAATGAAGTTCTAAAGTCCTTAGGAATTAGCCCTTACATCAATTTTTCTGCAATTATCCAAGCAGAATTTTGTAACTCCCCTTTAGAATGTTTTCAGGATATGTTCCTTGTTCTTCTAAAAATCTTTACTAGCCTGTATTTTCATCCCATAGGACTGCCATGAGCTATGAAAGCTATCAAAGGCATTTGGTATCAGGTCTCTCACCACACGAGTTAGGTTAGTAATGCCAATCTAGCCAAAGCAGGAAGCTCTTGCTGCATTGGAGGAAGCAGGGTGATTTTCTTGAGAAATGGTTCTGAAATTAATTCCAAAGCCTATGTGAGTATCATTCCAACACTTTCCAAAGGGGCAATAGTCATAAAATTAATATGTTCAGGGGGCTGGGGAGATGATCTGTCTGTGAAGTGCTTGAAACAGAAGCCTGGGGACCTGGGTTCAGATCCCCAGCAACATAAAAGGCTGAGTGCAGAGTGCAGACACAATGTATCTGTAACCCAAGACCTGGGGGGTGGGCAGGGAGGGAAGGAGGTACAGTAGATTCTGGGAATCTCAGTGACCAGTCTGCCTATCTGAATTGATGAGGTCCAGTTCCAATGCAAAACCATGTCTCAAAAAATAAGGTGGAGAGTGACTGAGGAAAACACTCAACATCAACCACTGCCCTCCATATGCATGTGTCCATCTATGCACTTGCACACATATGTGAACATACTCACAGCAACATGTACATACATTATATATATATATATATATGTGTGTGTGTGTGTGTGTGTGTATGTATACTTATATATGTATGTATGTTCTTTAAATAAAATTTATTTTAAAAATGAGGGAAACCTACTTAAATCCATTCTAGAAGCTTAATAGGAATAGACTATATTCTTAAAAATTTGAACAAATATAAGCATATCAACTTTTTGTAAAAAAATATTATTTATCAGTGTCTTGTCAAATTAATAGATGTATTTAAAAAGTCTTTCTATTTTAGAATATAACCATGTAAATGAACGGAAAGGAAAAATAAGAAAATACAGATAGGACAACAGAGGAACTGAGTAAAAAAAAATCACAAAAAATTTAGATTATATCAACTAAGAAGGGATGCACTATCCTACTCCCTAGTAACTTTGTAGACTTTCAATCACTTGGAGAAATAGGAAAGAATAAACAGATCCTGCCAGAATACAGTGTGAAAAATAATACAGGGGGAGGAACTGCCTTAGACATGGCAAGAAGGCCTAGAGAAAAAGCTGACAGAAAGAAAGTGATTGCTTGGAGCCCCTGGCCTGGAGAAGAAATAAAAAAGTTTATCCTTATCCTGTAGGTTCTTAACGTGCACCGAGGTTCTACAACTTTGGCAACTTCAGGATCCAAGGATTAATGCAAGACTCTGTCTGTGATTCTGCCACTTAGCAATCAGAAGTATCTTCAAAGCTTTTCTCCCAAACAACTGAGGAGGAGGATCAATTAAGCTTCTCTGTGCTGTGGGGCCAATCGGTGCCTGCTTCCCACACAGGAGGCTGACCACTGACTCACTCTGTTGTCTCCTTTCTGGTTCACCAGTTTAATACAACTTAAAGCTCATGGCACTGTTTTTGCAGGGGAGGCTGAGGAGGCCTTCCTTTATACTTTAAAATGCAAATTACCACTGTGCTAAGGTCTATTAATACTATTCCTTATCCATCTTCTTACCATGGAGACAAAACTTTTGCTTCCAAATTTACTAAGCTAAAAGGATATATGTTTTTCTGTAGTAAACATATTCTGTTTTTCCCAAAGAACCATGCTTAGAAACAAAATATACACAATTAAAAATAACAGGAAGGAGACGAGATTAAGTTTAGTATTTTCTCTTTTGAGTGAAATTTGAATTGTTAATTACCCAATATGCACAAACTACTGGATGGGAAGGCCAGAGGAGGAAGGAGGCAATGACAGGTCAGATTAGATTCTCTGTTCCTAATACTTTTTACCATTTTTCCTTTGGTCCAATGCCCCCAAACAAAGTTTCTACATTTTAAGTACCTCATTAAGGCATACACTTAAAAACTAAAGTAGGTATAAAGCCACAAGAAAATCTTTAGTTTTAGTTCCAATTGGAAGTAAAAACTGGGGGGCTGGGTGAGGGCAGGGTAGCTCAAGCTGCTAAAGTATTTGCTGAGCAAACATGAGAACCTGGGTCTAATTCCCCAACACCCATCAAAAATCCATGTATCCTGCAGATGCTGGTAATCTCAGTGCTGAGGAAGTGGATGCAGGCAGATGCTTGGATTTTGCCATCCAGCTAGCCTCCTCTAATTGGAAAGTTCCAGTGAGAGACCAGTTTCAAAAAGCAAGGCAAGAAGCCCCTAAGGCACAATGTCTAGGATTGACTTCTGGCCTCCATATGTATGAACACACAAGAACATGATTACACACATGTGTACTCCCCAGCAGTTGTGCTGTTTTATTATCTCATTTAATGTTTCCCATAATCCTATCACTTCTTGATTTCAATGATGAACTGGAGAAGTGATATCAAGGTAAAGTGCTAAACTCATATCAAAGCTGAAAGCCATTCTCTTAACCATCACACTGCATAACTTGTCCCATTGCCATTCTTTTCACTCAATGGAAAAACTAGGTGGCCTGGATATACACATAGTATATGTCATTTTAGATTTGTTTATTATGTACAGTGTTCTGTCTGCATGTATGCTTGCAGGCCAGAAGAGGGCACCAGACCTCATTACAGATGGTTGTGAGCCACCATGTGGTTGCTGGGAATCGAACTCAGGTCCATCTGGAAGACCTGTCAATGCCCTTAACCTCTAAACCATCTCTCCAGCCCAGTATATGTCATTTTAAAGCTAGGCATCTGATTCCTCTCCAATACTATCCTGGAACTATGTGTGAAAAAAAAATGGGACTCAAATGGGAAGATGTGAATAAGGAAGGGCAAACTCCAGAAGGGCAAGAAAAAATTAGCTTGTAGAGTATTTTAATTCCTAGGTAGGAGTACAATTAATATGAGAAGTATAATAGGTAACACTGTGCTTTCCAGTTACTTTAGACAAAATGAATAACATGCTCAAGGGGGAAGAACAACCTTAGTTATGACTGTTGCTTTGCTTTTTCACATGAGCCTCACGTTGCTCTATGCTCCTTATACATGCTAAGGGACACATAGGCATCTTCTTTTATCAGGTCAGACAAGATGGCTGCTTGTGATCTACCATCCATATTGGCTGCTTCCACACCCTTCTCTACCTCAGTTCATATAAACTATGCTATTGTTTAGTTCTAGGGCATGCTCAGCAAAGGCTTATGTGTTAGAGCTTGACACACCTGCCCCCCAGCTCTTGGTACTATTAGCAGGTAGAACCCTAGATAACTAGAACACAGCAGGTCTTCTAATCACTGGGTGATCCCCTTGAAAGGAGTAAATTTGAATTCCAGTCCCTTCTTCCTCTCTTTCCCAGTTTGGCCTTGAGTTGAAGAGATTTGTCTTGCTAAGTAATCCCAGCATAGCATTCAGTATTTCCAAACACAGAGGAGTTTCAAGTTTCTTCCCAGTCTTGGACTCCACAACTATGACCCAAAAACACTCTCCTTTTTCCTTCCTTCCTTCCTTCCTTCCTTCCTTCCTTCCTTCCTTCCTTCCTCCTTCCCTCCTTTCTTCCATCCATCTTCCTCTTCCTTCCTTCCTTCCTTCCTTCCTTCCTCCTTCCCTCCTTCCTTCCATCAATCTTCCCCTGCCTTCCTTCCTTCCTTCCTTCCTTCCTTCCTTCCTCTCTCTCTCTCTCTCTCTTTCTTTCTTTCTTGCTCTTCTGTTTTCTACTCCCTCTCTTCTTTCAAATTATATCTTTGAGACAGTATCTTATTGTGTAGTTCTGGTTGACCTGGAACTCATTATGTAGACCAGTCTGATACCAGGGACCCATGTTGTAGAAATCAATGGCTCCCAGAAATTGTGCTCTGACCTCCTCACAGATACCATGACATGCATATGTCCATAAACATACATGCCTACATAAAACACACATCAATCACTCAATCACTGAGTGTGTGTGATTGTTAAATGAGCTGTTGAATTCACCATGAAAAACTCATCTTTTGATTAATTAAATGAATTCCATGCCATTTATAAAGTGTCTTGGGAATTCCAGCATGAAAATTAGACCTTTTTCAGTCAAGTATTTGCTGTTGTCACCTCTGGTTATAATTTCATCTGCTGCATACTTCAAACTTTTGTTTTTCAGCTAGTAACTTAATACTATATATTACAAAGTAACATATCTATAGAAAGACATCAATTTAATAAAATATATATTAAATAAAAGATGTATCCTCCTAGGAAGTGGCATCTGAAGTGACCTGCCTTCATTTTCAAAACATGCTTACAATTTACCTAGTGTTTCAAGGCTGGTGTGAACATGTAAGTGATCACTGATTCTGTTCTTCCTGTTCCCTCTGTAGTCTAGCTTTTGTCATGTTCTGAGGGATTTGATGTAATGTCAAAATGTATCCTGAATAGGGGTAGGGATGTCTGCATAAAATAACAATTTGGACAAGGTTTTGGGGGGCCTTGCATAGAAGATTCATGGGAACCACAAAGATGGCAACAGTGCTTCCTATTTGAAGGCTGACAGTTCAAAGAACTCCCAAGCACATTATGTCAT